AAGGTACAATTCCCAATGAGAAATGTAATTGTGTTGTATACCTACAATGTACCAATAAAAGAATTTAATAAAAAATAAAAGAAAAGAAAAAAGAAACAACACGTAAGTAGAATTTAAACTACTAAAGGGAGGACATCAGGGGAGGGTAAAGGGAAAATGGTGGAGGAAAATTATCTATCTATCTATCTATCTATATACTCATGTATGAAATGTCAAATAAAAACCTGTCTTGTAAAATTATTATATACTAACTTTTAAAATTAATAAAATTAATATTACAATAATTTCCCATGTTCATTAAATTTTATATTAGATATTATTAATTTTATTAATAAATCTTAAATTGATATTTCATATATATTACATAAGTCTTATACAGTATAAAGGCAGTTTACCAAAAGCTAATTAGTAAGTGATGCTATGAAATTTACAGGAAATAATTATACAAATTTCCCCCTACTTAAATAGTATTACACTCTCTATTGTAAGTTAAGCCTTCTCTGACTCATTACTATTAACATGATTAAACCTAATTATAAAAGAACTGTCATCATTAACCAAGTTCCTCTTTAGAATTAAATAATGGCTATTTGATCCAGAAGCAGGTGTTATAATCTTTTGAGGGGTTTTCGTCACAGCACATTACTACTGCTTTACATAATTCAAGGTAACCCAACGGGAAATGTAAGTGATTTATGTTCCATATATCTGTCCTGAAGATCAAAATATGTTCATTTTATTTTAGACATAGGAACATCTTATCCTTCCCATCTCCTTATCTCAGGTAAAGTATTTGCTTCATTACTTTAAAATAAATGCTATTTTTAAAAGGAAAATTTTATGACTTTTAATTTTATTACAAAATTTACTACTGGTAGAAAAGAGTATATTATTAAAATTTATTTCAAATATCTTTCTCAGCATTGCCTAGATCTAATACACCAAAAAATAGATCATACATGGAACATTTTGCTCATAATTGCCATAATACTTTTTAATGGAATTATTTAAAAAATGAGTTCATTCAAGATAAAGCTACTAGGGTACTGAGGAAATCCAAATCATGTCATACTTAAATTGACTGAAGGAAATAAGTCATTTAACTTTTCAGACAGATGTCTTAGTGAGACTATGCTAGCTAGCTTCAACTATTAGTGGTCATGAAGAAGAATTAGAATGAAACTTAGTGGGTAAAAGATATTTCAAGAAGAAAATTTTAAAATAAGAGAATTGAATGGTTTTTTTTTATTTTGCAAAGTCTATTATGTGTGCTGGTCCCTATTTACATTTTCAGTTTCTTAAAGGGGTGGGGGGAAGGGAGGAAGAAAAAGAAAAAAATTGAGAAAAGAAGGAAAAAATGGAAACAGGGCTTTTGTAAATAAGGAAGGGGAAGAAGAGTTGAAAAGAGGGGAGGGGAATGAGAAAAAAATGAATCACGATACATCATGTAAAGTTACAAATTCCCTATGATGAATGTGATTATTATGTAAATTAAATTGCACCAATAAGATTAAAAATGAAAAAAATAAAATAAGACAATTGTTATAAAACTAACACTTCACAATGATTCTATTATAATAGAAAGTTATATGAATCTAAAGTAGAAGTGTAATGGAACCATAAATTCATCACTTTCTTCAAAGGTATCTTTTCAGATGTATGTATGCATCATTAGAGGTTATCATTAGTGTGTATGCTTGATTTTCTCAGTGGTATAACAATCATAACAGAGATGAAAGGTTTCAGATTAACTTCCTTACAATTGGAGATGCTTATCAGTAATAAGGATTACCACAGATCAAAGTTTTACTCTTAGCTATTGTTTATAACTCAAATTCTTGTCCTTCTAAAAAATTTAATGCTATATTTTTATATTCCATCTTAGGAATTAGTAATCGAGATAGTTTGCTTTTGTAGGTAAAGGATGAAACTGATATTTATCAATGCAAACTGTCCATCTCACTAAAGATATCTATTCTTACAGAATTTCCAATCTACAAAAACTACATAATCATTTATGTAATAATAATAATTTATGTGATACATAAATAAACTACATAATAATTTATGTAATAATTTATTTAAAATGTAATATATAATATAGCTGTTTCATAACATAAGCTATATGTATTCACAAATCTTATAAATGCATCATTTCTTCTCAGAGACAATGATATTGGCAGGTATATGCTTCATGGTGCTGCTCCAGCACGCTCCTGGCATGGTATGGATTTTACTTATAAAATAGATTTTAAGCCCTATTATTGGGGCTGATTCAATTTTACTTATAGTGGGTATTACATAGACAGATCAGAAAATACAATTTTTACCTCATCTTGTTCTCATCAGTATGTATCTTTAATGACAAAGTAATCAGGCAAATCCAGCTTTTCGGGTAGAAATAAATCTGGATAGATTTATTAACAGTATGGGGCAAGCAACAAAACAATAAGCCAGCAATATAAACATTCCATATGAAATACACCATGAATCATAAGTATAAAATCAACACTCCACTTACTTTCTAGGAATTTATTTTATCCTGAGTAGGCTGTTCAGTTAAAAGATGAAATATATGTCTAATGATCTAATTTCTATACCTGCAGAAGTATATATTTCTAGTATTCCAAAATTCTCAACAGCAATAGATCAGAAATGGACCTATAATCTTGGGTTTCAAAATTGAACTCAATATATTCCAATATAGTTCAATTCAACAACTACTTTATAGTGTCTAGTGCACCAAGTATTGTGCTAAGTCCCAGGGGTAGAGAAATTCAAAGATTAACATAGTAACTTTCTGCACAGCACTTCAGATTAGTAGAGGATTTACAAGCCAAAGGGAAATTTCTTTTTTTTTTTTTTGGTACTGGGGATCAAATTTGGGTCCTTGTGCTTTCGAGGCAGGTGACAGAACCACTGAGCTAAATCCCCAGACCCCAACAGGCAATGTTAGAAGAATGGTAAATATCATGTGAAGGCAGATAAATGGTTCTACATAATATCAGCGCTGAACATTTAGTGTTTTTAAAAATTCTAAGCACTTTTTATTCATGATCTCACCTAGACTTTATGATGATACAATTAATGGGATTTAGATCAGCATAGAGAAAATATTTGAGGAAAAGGTTACATAAGATTTGAAGTATAGCAAAAAGACAGCATAAAAGTTTGAAGGTAGTCAATGTTTGGTGGAATCAGTGTTCAAATTAGAGGTTGATTCAATCAGATTTGCATTTTATGGGGCAAGACTAAAGGCAAAGAAACTAGTTGGGAACTTGTTCAGTAATGTAAATGAAAGAATATGATTGTGATCAGTACTCAGTTATAGGAATGAAGATCTAATTTGAAAGTAGAAGCTTTTGGACTTGAGATTGGTTAAACATAGGTTTCAGAAGAAAGTGCCAATATCTGGTTTCTATCACTGTGTAGCTGGTGATACCATTCGCTAGAATATGGAGTATCTGATGACACAGAGACACTGGGTAGGGCCAAGGAATTAGTGCTATGGGTTTCAGGTGAGGTGTGAATAGGATCTGCGTTGGAGAAGAGAGACCAGATAAGTGTTATAAAACCATAAAAGTAGAAAATATATAAAGTGAAAAGAAACAGGGGCTTAGAAAATAATACTACAAAAGAATGCCAAGATTTAAGAGTGAGCTTGAGGAAAGGAAGCTGTGGAGAAAGGAGATGAAATAGCTGTCAGAAATAAGGAAGAAAAAGGCACACAAAAGCTAAGGGAAGAGAATGATTCAAGAAGGGGAATGATGCAACATTCCCCAGTGCTACTGAGACAAGTAAGATAAGGAAGGAACAGTATCCATTTACTTATCCATGCTATGGCTGTGATAGTCTTGCCAAATTTTGATTCTGTGGGGTGCTGAGGACAGAAGGCAGGCTGCAGTATGTCAAGAAGCAAGTGGAAAGTGACCAATTAGAGGAAGACCCAAATATTAAGATAAATCAGACATAATCTACTTCTTGCCAAAAGAGGAAATTCAATCAAGTAATGCAAGATCTAGATGATATATTTCTACATCCTCTTAAGCTCCTTGGAGGAGTTGCCTTGGCAATTGACTTTAAGAATAAATAGAACAATGTGGAAGTAAAGTTATGTACAGGAAAAAGAAGTTGACTTTATACCCAAAACCAGAGTCATTATTATAATTTGACTTCTGTGTTATTTTAAGGAATAGAGTGTTTTACTTCTGAAAAATTGGAACATTTTCCTAACTAAAAATGTATCTGAAGAGATCAAAAGATAAAGCAACTTCCATACTTTTCAAAAGAAAGTTATCCTAGAGTTCATTATCTGCAGAACTTTTTTAGTGAATTTGTCAACCACCATGTAAAAGTTAAGGAGCTCTCTATCTGAATGTGGAACCTATATCAAGATTACCAACACCAGGAAGTCTTTCCACTCCTAAATCTCAGTAATTAAAGGAGGATATGATACAGAGTTTGGAGCCAAGAAAGTAGGTCGATAATGGAGGCAGCTACTCCCAGAAATGGAGGCGGATGTAGGGAGTCAGTTAACAAGAAGTGCCCCACCTCTTTCTTTCCCACGGTCTGTTCTTTCAGTGTCTCATAAACCTGGAAAAGAATCTCACACAGTGTAAGCCAGAAGGATCAGCTCCACTGTACAGTGCAGGGCAGAAGAGGGTGGCTAACAAATAGGCTGAGTGAGACAGCAAATAAGAATCAGCACAGCATTATACAGGACCATTCCTGAAGGTTCATTCAGCTAGAGAGCTCCCTAACTTTTACATGGATAATTTTTCTATTTTTCAAAATTATTCCATTGTCTGATTATACTTCTATTAAGACAGGAAAGTGCAACTTTTGAAATTTGTTTAAGCATACATATGTACACAGGAACTTCATAAGATACTGAATTGTTGCCAAGCACACCCCAGAAAAACACTCATTTAAAAAATCTGAATAATATCTGATATTATTTGATATTGATAATATCAATAATATTATATTGATAATATGAATAATATCTGATATTATATGATAATGTTCATATGCATTATTATACTAATAAAATGCTGTTATTCTTTACATTTTTGAGTCATCATTTCTTGCTGTATATCATATGGGTTACCTTTTGCTATTACAGAATTCCAGGAATTATTTCTTGTTTTATTAGAAATTTCTAGTACTAATAGAGTCACTGATGAGGATCTTGCATTATAAGACAGAATTCTGTGTAGGCAAGTCATAGATCAAGTTAATCTATTACAAAAGCCAAAAAATAGTAATATTCTTAAAGATAGGTGCAAATTCCTTTAAAAATTCTATGTGCTAGACCAAGTGGTTCTCAAAGCATGGTTCCTGAAAACTTAGGAGAAATGCAAATTATCTGTCCCCACCCAAGCTTTCTGAATCAGAAACTATGGGGATGGAGTCCCGTAATCTGTATATTAACAAGTTTTATAGATGTCTAATTTGTGTTAAAGTTTGAGAACAAAAATGAAACATTTTTATTAATTTTCATATTGAAATAAATAAATTATAGATCTGTTACTTTGATTTCCAATGCTGTAATACTTTAACTTTTTACTCCTTTTTGAAGATAAACACCTCATATATCTCTTTATTGAGCCATCATCCATCAATTCAAGTGGAGATTATTGATAAGCACAATGATTTTAGGAGGATGGTAAAACCCAGTGCTAGAAACATGCTTAAAATGGTAAGTCATGCCTTGTTAATGAATCATCATCAATCAACATTTAGCCTCTTGGCAATGGACATTAAACCAGAAATTATATTTCTAAAATACTGTAATCTGTTTATTTCACTAGGAAATTGACATCTCAGTGTATAGGCTGGTAGTTAACTATATTTGATCTTACTCTCTCTATATATATGTATATCTATCTATATAGAGATCTATAAATCTCTATATCTAGATCTATATATATTTGAACCATATACATATATACTCTATCAGTATAGGATGGAGGTATAAATCATGGTAGACAGGTGATATGTAAGTAACATTACAGATTACATAATTTGAATAATTGGACACCAAACTCTGAATAAAATCTTAAATTTTCAATATGATATAAAGTCTATAAAATGAAAAACCTACTCTTTTTTGCTATGGTAAGCTCATAGGTTATAGAATGTGTACATATTTGGACAACACATTGATCAAAGGAGCAATCAAAGGATTATCATGATTGGGGCCTGTAAACCAAATACAACAGAGTAGATCTTTTGACTAAAGAATGTCCTAAGACAATCTGATAGTTGATTCTGGAATAGTTACTTAATCTGGAAAAACCACAGCTTTATTTCTATCAGTGGAAATAATTCAAACTTTAACCTTGTGAAAATAAATGGATATAATATTAAATAAATAAAATTCCAGGAACAGATGGTATACTTAGCAAAACTTAGTTCCTCTTTCTCTTCCAAGTTCAACTGTTTAGTGCTATTATATGGAAGTTTAATCTGATTTGTTGCAACAAATCAAAGATATTTAAAAGGTAATACTCATATACTTCAATTACAGGCTAAATGTCTTGTAGTAGGGTTTTCTATAACAATGAGTAATAGAACCTAGTCTTTCCAATCCTGAGACTCTGTGAAAGCTGGTGCTTCTTCTAGGTTACAGGAAGGAAATTTTCAAGGCTCATGTTAGCTTCATATCTGAGATAAGATCTTATGCCATGTGCACAGAATAAATATCTCATGACCATAGCAAGCAACTGAATTATCTTGTCTGCTCTATTTTAACATGTCTTCTCATATTTGATTGGAATATTTTTTCTTCTTTAGAAACAATCTTTGCTTAATTTGCTAAATTTACATTGATTTTCCTAGGGTTTTTTTACATATGGGATAGAGTGGACATTTTTTTCTGTACGTTTTGTCCTTCAAATGCTATATTGCATTTAGTACTTTATACAAACCTACTGTTCCATGTAACATTTTACAGTATATTAATCTATAAGGGCTGTTACAAATACAGTAGGAACCATAGGGCAAACAAGCACTTGCTTAGATCTCAGGTCTAATTATGTTTGTACTTGGGAGGCTGAGGCATGAGGACCACAAGTTTAAGCTCAGCCTATGCAACTTAGTGACTTAGTGAGACTCTATATCACAATAAAACATAGAAAAGAGCTAGTGATGTTGCTCAGTGTGACAGCTTTGGTTCAATTCCTGGTACTGAAAAAAAAGTCTGTATAGCCTATGAGTATCCAGCCAAAAAAATGTAGAATTTGTCTAGAATATTTATTTTATTATTGGAAACTGGATGACTACTTTTTCCAAAAATGCTGTACTCTATGACAACCCCCACACCCCGAAAAAGATCTTTGTGGCAGCTAAATCATTTAGGAAAGCAAGAAATATGATTTTTATAGAGTAATAGGCAAAAGAAAAAATCTTAGAAAATGATTCTTCAAGTGGGCATATATTTTAAATATATTCATATGTTTCCCTATTATCTTTTTTTTTTCTTTTTTTTTTCTGGTACCGGGGATCAAACTCAGGACCTTGCGCTTGCAAGGCAAGCGATGGAACCACTGAGCTAAATCCCCAGCCCTTTCCCTATTATCTTGTGAAAACTTCATATTTTAATTTCCATATATTTGCCATATATTCCAAGACATGGAATGCTGAAGTTGCAAAGAATGCTGAAATTTGGGCAAAGAAGTGCATCTTTTCTCACAGTCCTAAAGATCAACGAAAAATTAGTTGTAAGTTGAATTCATGCAATGAATAATGTTATAAAAGCTAAATGAACTAAAAATCATTGAAATAATAAGTTTGAGAGTGCTAATCTTGTTTTTGCTCATTGGTTTTACTTTACCACTTCTAGTTACACTCATGTATCTTGCTTCCATCTCTGTATTTTCTCTTTTAAAACTCTTGTTCTAAAAGCTCATTACTCCTGCTACTCCAAGCCAAAAATTTAGACTGAGTATGAATAATTTAAATATTTTCTGAACTTAAAGTCATTCAGATACTAATCATCCATAGTAGCCATGTGCCAAGTTTCAGTCTTGAAAATCTGAAAAAGCTCCTATTTAGCATATTATAGGACAACCATCCAGACCTTGAGCTCCTGGTGGAAAATAATTATATCTCTTGGAATAATTTTCCATAGCATAAGTATGTAGATACTAAATAGGATAATTGTAAATTAATTATCACCTACTTTCCAAGGTACTCAGTATGTTCCATTTTACCTGTTCACTCTATTCCAATCTACCATTTTTATTAAGATCTGGTCAGCCTACTCATTCCCAGAGACAGCCCATTGTCACTTTTGCGTCCATGACTTGGACTTTATTATTTTCCTGCTAGAGATTCCCATATAGATATGTAATCTTCCATCTGACCTGCTTGCTGTCTACTACACATGTGCCTGTTATTTTCACAGCTTATGAGGCAAAGTTCAAAAGTAGTATTTAAGTATAACATTTTAACTATCCCTTCTATTGTACACTGTGAAGGTATAAAATATTAATGTTCAACTGACTGAATATTGATATTTATCAGTATTACTAAAATGATGATTATAACTTTATTATGACACACAATCAGTTTGAAAATGCATCATTAGTTACATTTTAAACAAGTTAGGGCTGGGGATTTAGCTCAGTGTTTCCACCACCTGCCTCACAAGCACAAGGGCCCGAGTTCAATCCCCAGTACCAAAAAAAAAAGAAGTTACATTTTTAAAAAGTTATTCATAAGCTGAGGTGGGAAGCAAGTAATTCCAATTAACAGAGCAAAGGTTTTGAAATTGAAGTTAGATTCTCCTCTAGATCTGCCAGTTTAAGATGACTGTACATCTTTGGAAAGTAATATTGATCACAAAAACTAAAATATTTTAGTAGTTTTCAATAAGAATTCTTCACAAGTCCTGGTTTAACTATTGTTGCATTGCCTTTCCTAATTTCCAGTTGCTGACTGTGGGGAGAATTACTTCTTGTCCAGTGATCCCAGAACATGGTCATATGTAATCCAATCTTTCTATGATGAAGTTAAAGATTTTAAATATGGATTAGGAAATATTCGAGCCAATGCTATAACTGGCCATTATACCCAGGTAAAAATAAAATGACAGAAGCTTAATTTTTTCATCTTCCATAATCCCAGACTTACCTTTCCTCCTCAGTTTTTCCTGTAAATACCAAGCACGTGTCTGAGCAATGATATTTGAGCTTGTATAGAAAAACTATCCTGCATTATGAAGCACATTTTACCCATACACAGATATAAGTATATTTCATAATTTCTTGTGTATTCACATGCACCCACCTGATCATTGTAACTCTGGATTTACCACAATAGATTCTTTTAAATAATGGTTTGTTAATAATGGGAATAGTGGGAATAAAGTGATAGATTAATTACATGTTACCAACATTAAATCATCTTCAAACAAAAGAAATTCTAGAGATACTTTCTCTGGGTCAGTTACAGGATGAAATGCTAAAGAAAACACATTATCAGAAACAGTATGATTTTATACATGCAAGTTATTTTTACATTATTAAATAAAATTTTACATTTTTATCTAAAATTAGAAGTTACATTGGGAAAAGTGAGATTATCTGCACAAAAACACAAGGTCAACAGAATTTGTTCTTGTTTTTCCCTTCAAAAATGGAATTGCCCACCACCTGCCTTATAAGCTCAAGGTCCCGAGTGCTATCCCCAGTACCAAAAAAAAAAAAAATAGAATTGCCCTTAGATCCCTTTCCTTTTTGTCCAGTCCTCCATTGCTTATATTTTTATGAATTTTAGGGATGATTCACCATTTTAACAAGTGTAACATAAAAGTGTTGTGTCCTTTAACTTTCAATGAAACCCTATAACTGGAAATAATTTTTTAAGGAATTTTCATCAAGTTTAGATAGAAATTTTTAAAAAAACAATGTTTTTCAGCTTTTTAAATTGCCACCACTGATAGCTTTTAATAAGAAACAAAAAGCCACATAGAGAAAAAAACTATACATTTAATTTAAATTATTTTATTTTAAATTTTCTACTTGCAGCTTGTTTGGGCCACTTCCCACCAGCTTGGCTGTGCATTAGCTCACTGTCCTCACAAGAACTATAAATATTTCTATGTTTGCCAATATTGCCCCACGTAAGTATAACATGGGGATTGCTTTGGGCCATGGTGGCCAAGTAACCTGCACTTGGGCTAGAATCCAGCCTCTTTAGTCCATCTAGAGTTACACGGTACTTCACACAGGCTGTAGAAAGAATAGGGAGCATTGGAAAAGACAGGAAAGGACACCCAGTGTGTTTTAAGGGTGGCAAACCCACAGTGATCACACAGCACGGTGGGTGGAGCATGGCTCTGCAGGCCACAGATTAAAGGACAGCATTAGCTTTGTTACTCATTAACTGTGTGGTACTCAGTTCACCAATAAATCACTCTGATATCCTTCTTGTTTTTCTATAAAGTAGCAAGGTCATAGATTTCTTTCAGGGATTTTTGTGAGGATTAAACATAATAGGCTATATTATGTGTGTAGCCAGTTTATGGCATATTAATTGATTCTCAATAGAAGAAAATTCTTCCAACAAAGAAATAAAAATATCGGAACCCTTCCACAATCTTGTACTGTGGTTCCACGCCCTTTGCTGTGTTACCAGGCAAGGTGGTGTCTATAATCCAAGCACTCAGGAGAGTGAGACAGGAAGATTCTGAAGTTGAGGCAAGCCTGGGCTACATAACAAAAACTTGTCTCAAAAAGAAAAAGGAAGCAAAAGAACTATTGCAGCATCAGCTTCTATCTTTTGTGTGTATGTAAATCCTGCACAACTTACTTTGAAATTTTTATGGCTTTAACCTGCAGAAATCTTTTTTTTCTAAGCTCATGTGACTCTTTTATATCCTATCCACATGGCACAATCTCAAAAAATTATTCTTAACCCTTTTCTTCAAATGTTCCATTGCCAGGGGAAACAATGTGAGAACAATGAAGACACCATATAAAATAGGACAGCCATGTGGGGACTGCCCTGGTCATTGTGACAATGGACTTTGCAGTAAGTAATATCTACTTTGTACCTTTTTATGGTGTTATCTCCAGGGATACTGACCTTATGTAGAAGACAGCTCAGTCTCTGGTTTGGGGTACATAGGTCCCTCATCTTCTTCAGGGCCCTCACTTTCCTACTTCAGTCCTACTCTTAGCAACGAAAACATAAAAACAGTGCAATGGCAAGTGCAGCTGCCATTTGAGGATGATGAGGACTAAAACAAGAAGTATATAATAGAAGTCATGTAAAGCAAATTTAAGCCAAGCCCAAGTGAAGATGAAGTTTCCCTTTAGCTTCTTTTTGTCTCTTCAATTGATTGTTTTCCATCAGTTAAGGAATAGAAAGGTAGATGTAGAGAAACTAACCAATTACACAATCTTGGATAGAGTCAGATTTTATTTGCTCCTGACCCTAAATAAAAACCAGGGAATATATGAAAAGAAACTTTGTACTGTTCTTTCTGTTATACCTACTCCTTTCTGCACACACACACACACCCCCAGAACATATAAGGCAAACACATATATATACTCTATCAAATACATCACTTGATTTCTTTAGTAACTGCACATTATATTTAGGAAGTAGGCACTTAAAAATGTGGGCTATTTTAAGCACATATGTTGAAGTTTCAGCCAGTCTTCTATGAATCCTCAGGAATACATACAGACATATATAAAGCAGAATCACTGCTAGTCTGGGGTGCTTTTCTTTGCTATGATTGCAACTATGGACCTGAGTAAAAGAGTTTGTTGAATGGAATATGAGCTAGACTTGTGTTCCCTATTTGTGACCCTGGCCCCTTTGTATGATTTCATTGCAAAAGCATATATGGTTGCTCATACACACAACCAGACTAATACATTTGGAATTGGATTTATTTCAGTCACTGTATACCTTATTGTGACAGAGTAGAGAAATTTACTTGATTTCTTAAAGTTCTATGTTATGAGAACCCCATACCTGCTACATCAGTATGTCTGTTTATATAAAACAGTGGTAATGAACCTATGAAATGCATATTATTGTGTTTCTCTTTTAAGACAAAAGATGTTAATGTATGAGTTGATTCTTCTAAACTAAAACCTCAGTATTCAGGTTTAATTGCAGTTTTGGCATTTTGCAATAAAAGAGTTTTGGGTTGTAGTTTAGCACCTGGTCTCTAAAAGGTTTGCCATCACTAATATAAGGTTCTTCTGTTCACACCAACTGTTTGATAACAATTCAAGCCTAGCTCCCCTTATTTAAAAAAGAAGTCTTAAATAAACTATTACAAACAATGTGTTTTCCTTAAGAAAATATAATTTGAGATAACTAGAACTATAATAAAGAAGCAGCATTTCATTTGTTTTTTGTTTCATTTTAGCCAATCCATGCATGCATGCGGATACTATCTCAAATTGTGCTGCTCTGGTCAAGCAACATGGGTGTGGTATAAAAATCACAAAAGAAAGCTGCAAGGCTACCTGCAAATGCCCTTCAGAAATAAAATAATGCATCCTTAAAGGTGATATTTAGTGTCAAGAATAAACTTCACAGGTCTTAAATCACTGAAAATTTCATTGTCTTCTTTTAAACAAATGCACAGATTGAAGTAGTCTTTTATTCAATACATTCTAATACTTTCATCAATTAAATTTGATAATATCTCAGTAAAAGAAAAATATGTACTAAACACAGTAAATTCAATACCTGTGAGCAACAGATAAAAATGTAATGCTGAATCGAATAGTATTTAGTTATCACAATTGGTAGAATACGTTTACATGCATTTAAAACTTTGTATAACTCATGAATAAATGCTTTCAAAACTTTTGAAGCAGGGGACTCAGAAATGCTTTCCTTTCTTATTTATGTCATTAAAAAGTGCACTGGTGATGGCGTGCTTCTGGACAGCTTTGTCGTGGCCAAAAGGCACAACCTAAAGATGACACGGGGTTTTCTGATCTTAGTGGTGATTAAATACAGACATAAACCTAACTCTTTGGGCCAAAATGTGAAAGAAGTTTCTATACCTATAAGTGATCACAAACACCCCAGCTGTTGTTCCTAAATCAGTGCATAGTTCTGAGCTCCTCGATTGAGGGGAGGACTGTGTCCCTAGAGAACAGTCCCAAAAGTGTACCTAGAAGACTCTGGGCCACTTACAAATCTGACAGACACTGGAAAGTGGGGAAAGCATTTTTGTGGCTTATTAAATACTGAAAAATAGTATATGTCTGAAGAACTGAACTGCTACCACAGTGCAGAGATTGGAGTAGAACTTACTACAAAGGAGAATGGAGTAGGACATGTCAGATTCACACCAGAAGACCTGATTCTTTGGTTTATTCTGCAGTTCCAAACTGTAGAGTAGAAATAAATATATTTAAAAATTCTCAGATTCCCCCACATTGGTTCTCTGACCTGAAGATTAAAAGTTTCATGGTAAAAAGGGATAACTGAAATCCACTGGAACTACCCATTCCTCTCGACAAAGAATCAAATCAAAACTAAATTATCATGGGCCAGGATTTAGCTCAGTGGTGCTGTGCCCTGCCTCCCAAGCTCAAGGTCCTGAGTTCAATCACTAGTACCACACACACACACACACAAAAACACGAAAACTAAAACTAAATTTTCATCCCTTGGGCATTATAGGGTTTGTTATTATAATTAAAACATAACATTTTCATGGGTGGTAATTACAAACATATCTCTATTTATCATGCTAGTGAAAAACCAGGATGGGTTATAGATAAAAGTTGTAGACAGTCACAAACTTGATAACATGGTCTTACCATCCACAACTGGGATTTAACATTTATCTTTACAAGCCAGGCATGGTGGCACACACCTGCAATCCAAGCACTCTGGCAGGCTGAGGCAGGAAGGTCCCAAATTGGAGTCCAACCTGGGCAATTTAGCAGCTTAAGACCCTCTCTCCAATTAATAGGGCTGGGGATATAGTTCAGTGAAAAGGCCCTGGTTCAATTTCCAATATTTTAAAAAAGAAGATATTATCTTTGCTAGAGCAAACCAGCATATTCAATAGTAGCAGGATTGTATCTAGTGTCTTATGTTTATTCTAATGTAACAAGCAAGAATACTCAGAAACATTTTTCCTTTATATGACAAGAAAAATAGTGTACTTTTAATGCCTAGTCTACTCTCCTCACACTAGTTCTGCCACCATCCCCTTTCTGGAGATTCACATAATACTTCATTTATACACACAGAATATCACATTATTGTCTTAATACTGTAGTTCTTAATGTTAAGGTCTTAATAATGTTGTTCTTAATGTAAAGAATATGATAGTCACATAGTATGCCACACTATTGTTCTAATAACATTAATGAAAAGAATAAGGTTTTGTTCTGACAGTAGAGAGATCAATATAATAAACACTCATGTATTCACCTCCCAGCTTTAGAATAAAACATTATCAAATTGTAATCTTCCTTTTTCTTCTTTCTTTTATCTTGGATTTGTTGCTTATCATATACACGAATATTAATATAGTTTTTTTCCATATTTTTTCCTTGCACAGATTTAGTATTATTTTTTAGGTAAATGCTAGCATACCATGCATACCACTTGTAACTTGCACTTTTACTTCAATTTTTAGAAATTAGTCATTCTGAGATCACCAGGCTCTTTACATTCATATTTTCTTTTATATAAGTATTGAAATATATTCTCTAACACACTTTATGTATTCATTCTTCTGTTTGTTGACATAAGATTGCAACTAACTTTTCACTATTGAAAGTAGTATTATAATAAACATTTTATATCTAACCTTGTAAACATACACCAATATTCTCTCAGACTAAAACTACTGAGCCGAAGATAGTTTGCATTTTCATCTTTAATGGAAATTGCCTAATTATTCTCCAAAATAACAGGATAAGTGTACACATCCTACAACAGGGAAGGGGATTTCCAGTTATTAAATATCCTTAAAAGGCCTGCTTTTATTACATTTTAAAATTTGCCCCAATATGGTACACTTTTTTATTCTTTTAATTATTTGTGAGATTGTGTATATTTGCCTATGTTATTTGGCTTGTTGGAAATTGCACTTTGGTATTCTTATTTTATTGCCTATGTCTGCTGATGTCAGCTCTGTATATGTGTGTGGGGGGGTTGTATTTTCTGAATAACTTAAAGCTTTGTATATATTATAGATTGTGATCCTTTGTAAGTTTTGACTTTGTAAGTTTGTTTCTTATTGTTTTCAGTTTTTACATGGTGGCTTTTGGTACAAAGAAATCAAAATTTTGATATAATAAATTTATTGTACTTTTTGTTTTTTACCATTTGTTCCTATCTTCTTAATTTTTGAGATACTCTATTTTCTTTCAAACTTTAAAAACATTCCTTTTTGTAGGAAACAGATAGTGGTTTTTTTGTTTTGTTTTTTAATTCATGATGATGAGCCATCATTCAATAGGACTTCTCAAACACAAACACTTAAATTCCAGAAAATTTCAAAAAAATATGTCTTTGAACTTTGAGACAGATTCTAGACAGTTTCAGACAGATTCAGTAGAGTAGCTGGATACAAGGTCAACACTCAAAAATCAATAGCCTTCTTGTACATAAATAACAGACTCACTGAGAGAGAAATTAGGGAAACAATCTCTTTCACAATAGCATCCAAAAAACTGAAATATCTAGGAATCAATCTAATGAAGGAAGGAAAAGACCTGTACATTAAGAACTACAATATTCTCAAAAAAGATGGAAGAGGATATAAGAAAATGGAAAGACATCCCTTGTCCTTGGGTAGGAAGAATAATTATAGGTAAAATGGCAATATTTCCAAAACTCCTATACATATTCAATGCAATCCCAATTGAAATCCCAACAGTATATTTCACAGAATGAGAGAAAACAATCCAAAAATTCATTTGGAACAAGAAAAGATCTAGACTAGTAAAAGGAATTCTAGGCAACAGAGACATGGCAGGGGTCTCACAATCCCCAACTTGAAACTATACTGCAAAGCAATTGTGATAAAAACAGGATGGTACTGGCAAAGAAACAGACCCCAGGATAAGGGGAATAGACTAGAAGATGCAGAAACAACTCCGGACACACTCAGCTACCTCATCTTTGACAAAGGAACCAACTATCCTCACTGGAGGAAAGATAACTTCTTTAATAAATGGTGTTGGAAAAACTGGATTTCAACTTGCCAAAGATTAAAACTAGAACCCTATATTTCACCATGCACTAAACTAAAATCCAAGCAGATTAAAGATCTAAATATTAAAACAGAAATACTAAACTTGCTGGAAGATAAGTTAGGTAGAACTCTTGAAGACATTGACATAGGAAAAGACTTTATGAACAAATCCTCAGTAGCATGGGAACTAGCACAAAGAATCAACAACTGGAATCTCATATTAAAAAGCTTCTGCACTACAAGAGAAACCACCAACAGAGCTAAGAGACAACCTAAAATGTGGGAAAAAAATTTTACCAGCTCTTCCTCAGAGAAAGGTCTACTATCTAGAATACATAAAGAAATTTTAAAAAATCAGACCCCCCCAAATTTCTAAACACCCCAATTATAGTCAATGAAATTGAAAACGTAATTAAAATCTTACCAACAAAGAAAAGCCTAGGTCCTCATGGCTTCACTGCTGAATTCTACAGGACATTTAGAGAAGAACTATTTCCACTACTGTTTAAACCCTTCAATGAAATTGAAAAGGAAGTAATACTCACAAATTCATTCCTGGAAGCAAGCATCTCCTTGATCCCCAAAGCAGAGAAAGACCCAACCAAAAAGGAGAACTATAGGCCAGTCTCACTAATGAACATAGATACAAAAATCCTTAGTAAGATACTGTCAAATAAAATGAAGAAGATCATCAAGAAGGTCTTACGCCCTGACCAAGTGGGATTCATCCTAGGGATGCAGGGATGTTTCAACATATGCAAATCAATAAATGTAATATTAACAGAGCCAAGAACAAAAACCATAAGATCATCTCAATAGACAGAAAAAGCATTTGACAAAATCCAACTCAAATTTATGATCAACACCATACAGAAAATTGGAATAGATGGTCTTTATCTCAACCTGATAAAAGCCATCTATGAAAAACCAACAGCCAACATCACACTAAATGGTCAAAAACTGAAAACCTTCATGCTAAAATCAGGAACAAGACAAGGATGTCCACTATCACCAATCCTGTTCAATATAGTTTTGGAAACAGCCACAGCAATTAGACAAGAGAAAGAAATAAAAGGAATAAAGATGGGAAATTAAGAAGTTAAATTGTCATTATTTGCAGACGACATGATACTCTATGTAGAAGACCCCAAGAACTCCACCAAAAGTCTTCTAGTCTTAATAACCAAATTCAGTAGAGTAGCTGGATACAATGTCAATGCACATAAATCAATTGCCTTCCTGTACACAAACAACAAACTTTCTGAGGAACTGGAGAAACAACTCCTTTCATAATAGCATTCTCAAAAATGAAATATCTAGGAATCAACCTAATCAAAGAAATCAAAGAAAACTTAGCACTCTGAAAAAAGAGATTA